CTGAGGCGTGCGGGACTCGGGGCTCCCTTCATGAGGCTGGGCACCCCTCGTTAGGGGCGCAGCTCGTCGTAGTTGTCCTGTTTACAAGAAAGGAAACGCTAATCTCGGGAGGCTTTGCGATTTACTGCTAAAGAGGATCCTCACGAAGGAGGCCGCCCTCCTTCCACCTGTCACCCCGCGGTCTGCTGGCTCCAGGAGCTCTCCTGAGGTTGCTCATGTCCAGCAGCACGGCTCTGTAGGCCAGCAGTGGAGAATCACTGCTCACACTGTAGCACGGTAAAGCAGGGTCTTCCCCCGCAGAACTTACAAAACTTTTAAAAAAAGCGATGCACGGAAGGAAACTTTATTCCCAGCTGTCGTCACTCGACACGCAGCTCGGGGGAACTGGGCCGGGGACGCGAGGAGGAGCCGGGCGGTAGAGCCGAGGCCGACAGCACAACCTCTGCTTCTTCCCCGCAGGACCTGTTTGCACTGGGCCTGTAAGCGGAACCAGGCTCAGGTGGTCTCCTGCCTGCTGGATGCCGGTGCAGATAAGCAGATCCTCACCACTAAAGGAGAGCTGGCTGCACAGTTAACTTCGAAACCAGACATCCGCAAGATTTTGGGAGGTACCGTTCCCATCCTAAAAGTCATCTAGAATTCTCGGTCTAAAGACTAAAGCATTTTTAGTGCTTTTATCTGAGGCAGTAGATTGGGAAAACTTTGGCTAGGACTATCGTCTCTCATTAGATAGCTCCGATTTATAACTGTAATTCATACTCGGGCAAATAGACTTGGGGATTTTAGGTAGCAAGGCCTTTTATTCTGAGCTGTGCCATCACGAGATTGAAGAGCTGTGTACTTTGGGAAACATGCTGCTGCAGTCCTGTTTGCTCTCGTTAAGCAGAGGCTCGCGTGCAGGCTGCAAATGGAGCCTTTCACAATTGTACAGGCTGACTGTCGGCTGACCATAAGGAATCGTACAAATCCACTGCAGCATTTCAGAAGTTAGGGCTTCTGAGCGTTTTGTTATACTGGGACTTGGCAGTACGATTAATTTTTGCCCCATAATTCTGTCATCTTACACTTTTCGTATGCGCAGCAAACTTAGATGTACGTGACGCTCCTGAACGCTGCCAGTGCCTGTTTCCATCAGCATCTGGGTACTCTGCTCCAGATTAAAATTTTTAAGTGCTTCACCGTTGGAAATGCTGATGTTGTATCTTCTGCTAATTGCACTTAAATTACTCTCTGCAGTGATACGCTCTTACATCAACAGTGCACAGTTATCTTAAATGCAGTTGCAGCTAAATCATGACTAAGGTTACGACAGTCGCAGCTGAAGGAATGGCATGTTCTTTGCATGAGCATTTTTGTTTTCTTTTGGGCAAGGTGCTCATCTCTTGGACTTAGTTCATGGCAAATGACTTGCATTCTGTTTTTAACGTCTCAACTGTCAAGTGTGCATGAATGAACTCTTTTCATCGTTGCCGTATTTTTCTGTCTGTTAAGCTTTCATGCGTTTCCTGAGGAATAAACACGTATCACTTATATTCTCCTAAATGGTTTTTATTCTGGGAGCGTAGTGCTACTGAGCAGATCCTTCTGAACTGCTTTGACATTAGGATTAATGTCCTGTAACCCTCAGTCAGGCAAGAATGTCATTTACTGCAGTACTGCTAAGCAGGAGAAGAGTTGGCTTGGGTATTGTATCAACTATTCACGTACCCAAAGAAATGCTCAGTTTAATTTGTTGGCATGGATCCTAATAAACTATTTACAGCAGTGTTATTAAACTCATTGCAAAATGAGATTTAGTGAAGAACTACCGGTCGGTCAGTTCCTTTGGAAATGCTGGAATAGCATTGCTAGGAATGACGTGTCTTTCAGTATTTTTTTCCCCACTTTGCTTTTAAAACACACAATACTCGCAGAAATTTGTAGATCTTTCTTTCGTTTTACAGCTGCTTGCCTTCCAGGTGTCACGTGCTTGGTATCATCCTTTGATTACCTCAGAACGGGATGTAGTTTTAAGACACAATAAGAAAACCAACTATATGCAAAATGGGGAAGATCTATCCAATAACGTGGTGGGGTTTTTTTCTCTCTCCATCCCCTAACCCCCATTTTTGAACTTCATTACTAGAGGAAGAAACGGAGTGTCAAGGAGCGAAGGATTTAAATCTGCCAATTGTTGCGAACTACTTGGCCCACCCACCATTCCCTTACGTTTACGCTGAAGAAAGCATTCCAGACGGCTTGGCAGAATCCCAGAATGAAAGTGCTTCCATCTCTTCTGCTTCCCGGTGCGAAACGAGTCCTTCTTCATCAGCAACTCAGGTTGAAAGCCTACGCACACCTACGTCGTGCACCAGCGAGGATGACTTTCCTGCGCTAGCCGCTCCCCCACAGCTGCCCGCCCCGGCAGCCGCTGTCGCCGCGCCACAATGCGTCGAGCCTGAGGCAGAGACCGGCCCCGCTTGCCAGCCGCCCTTGCCGCGCAGCAGAGGGCTGTGCTCTCCGGCAGCCTCCCACCGGGCTGTACCTCTGCAAACCGACGGTTCGCCCACTGGTCCCGCACCGACGTTTCAGCCCTTTTTCTTTACGGGAACTTTCCCATATAACATGCAAGGTAACGAAGTGTCATTTCCCATCCTATTATACTCTGTTCCGTGTCATTGTTACGGGGTGAAAGATGAAGTTAAAGAATCATTGCACTTAGACTCGTGTGGAGTAGAGGCAGAGGTGTTGAATTCTTTGGCCAAAGTACCCAGAACTTTTTTTTCTGCTCTGCTAAGTAAAATAACTGTTATACTGTATTTTAAACATGGTAATACTTTCCAAATCGATGGAAAGATCAGTCCAAGCAGCATAAAAATTCAAATTTTGCAATATATTATATAGTATCAAATATATCTCTGGTAGTTTGGCAACAACCTGACTTCGGGACTGGATGGATCAGATTTTTAATGTTGTAAACATGGTTCCCCTGTGTATTTCTTCCTGTTCCAATGGAAGCCTCCATTAACTGCACAGTGTTTCTCTCAGGGAGGTAATAGGTATTGTATTATAAAACCTGAATTCAAAAGATAATGGTAAATACTTCAGTGTTAGGTTTGGGTTGTTTGGCTTTTGGTTTGTTTTTTTTGGGGGGGAAAAAAATCTTTTAATCTTTTTCTCAATCAGAACTCGTGCTTAAGGTGAGAGTCCAGAACCTCAGAGACAACGACTTCATTGAGATTGAGCTGGACCGCCAAGAACTGACCTATCGAGATCTGCTCCGAGTGAGTTGCTGTGAATTGGGCGTTAATCCAGACCAAGTAGAGAAGATCAGAAAATTACCTAATACACTGGTAAGAAAGGTAAGAATTGAAATCGGAGATTAGTTTGACTTTGCAGTTTGCAGACATCAGGGAAGGTATTTCTGTAACGAGATCAGCAAAACCAGGGATGGCCTTGTGTTAAAAAACAAAAACTGACTTAAGCTCACAAATTCAGAAGGATATTGGACTTTTCTTAAAACTTCATCACAACTTACTTACTTAAAAATATTCTTGTCAAAATAGGCAGGGTATTTCAGCTCCTAAAGCGCTTGAAACTATTACAGCTTGACTTTTTTTTTTTTAAACGTATCAGAAACAGTGCATTAGCGTGCTTTTAACGTAATTGCCATGCACTACTTCATTGTTTGCTTGCCTAAAAAGAACAAATAGTAAGGGGGAAAAACCCCACAAATTGGCATGTGAATAATTTAAAGATACGCCATTAACAAATGAACATGCTCTTCTGTTCCAAAAATACCTGTTCTGGAGGTCTGTAAATGAAATGCATTTGGACTCAGCCCTTAGTTAAGTGACATGCACACGCACAGTCAAATCGTAATGAGGTTCGAGGGGAAAAAATGTATGGTTCAAGGAGAGAAAAAAACCCAAACGTGCTTTGAAAGAAAGCGTGTGTACTGGTGGGATTTTTTTTCTTTCATTATTTATTCCTATTGCTGGGTGTCACCTCCCTGGCTTCCTTCAGCTAGTAGTATAAATATTTACAAGTAAGACCAGATATGTTTAGAAGTAACGCGGAGTTCTGTCTGTTTTTTAAAAGGACAAGGATGTTGCCAGACTCCAGGACTTCCAGGAGCTGGAGTTAGTTCTTGTGAAAACTGACAGCTCTCCTTTCAGAAACGCTGCATCGCCGCTGACTGAGAGACCGTGCTACAACAGTAGAGCATCAAAGCTGACTTACTGACGCCTCTAGGCGCATCTGGCGTATGAAACCCGGTAATTATCTGCTGCTGCCTGTTGAAGGCAGTGAACTAAGCGCGTGTAAAACCTTAAGTTATTGTTAGGGTTACTATTTTAACTAATAGTTTATCTTTTATATTTAATATCCCCATTGCTTTCATTTTTTTACTTGATACTGTACTCAGATAAGGGATACCTCGTTTGTCTACTAAAATCACATGCTTCCAATGTATTTCAATGAAGTTTGTTGGTTGTACTTGGCAACAGAGGGCGGGAAAGACTTAATTATTGATAAGAAAAGTATATGGAGCACTCGACTCTTTGACCAAGTCAGTCATGGAAAAGAGATTCAGGAAATTTTGTGTGTGTGTGTGTATATATATATATTTTTTAAGCTTAAGGCTAAACGTCAGAGGGTGTCTGGCATACAATGAGCAGTTGCTCTCTAAAAATGTAAAACTTTGCAAGTCCCTAATCTCTTGCCCCTTCACAAAGACTTACCAAGCTGCACTCTCTTGCCTGCTGGGGATAGAAATATTTAATGCTCTGAAGTGACAGGAGAAAGTTTTCACTGGGCTGAAAATAAGTGGGATAAGTGTCCTCATTTAAATGTTTGTTTCTTTCTTATACGAGAATATTGTAACTTAAGCGATGGCGTCCCTCCACCTGCACAAAAAAAATACGGAAGCCTCTCTTAATAAAGGAGCATTAAAGTCACAAAGCAAGTTAAAGTGCCCATTCAAAAGAAAGCCCTTCTGTTTCAGGAGCTCGGGAGGGAATCACAAATCTGTGTCCGTGGTTTTACGTATTTGTCTTCCCAAGGCTGTGAGGAGACTACGCATCACTCACACCAAAGTCAGTACTGCTGGGTCAGGTAACTTCCTCGTGGCCCACCCTCACAGAGCAGTTACAGGCTGCCCGAGGAGCAGGAGAAGCACAACAGTACGCTCCTGAGGTATCACCGCCGTAGGGAGCTCTTGATTAGCCATACTGAACTGGAAACATACCCCATTAGCAAATAAACAACCTGTAACTAGCTTTACACGTTGCACAGCCTACTGTCACTTTTCCATACTGTCCAAAGTTTTAGCCAGACGACTACAGAGAGGCTGAACGCCTCCAAGTGCTTTCAGCTGAATTTTTTGGGGGGAAAAAAACCCAGACTCTGGAATGAAAGCATCCATCTGGGGTTTTATGAATGGCAAAAGTCATCATTAAACCACACCTTGAAGTCACTCCCTTTCGGTCTAAACAAAGTATTTACGTCGCAGCATTACCAGAGCATTAACAGCCTGAAGCTTTTCCTGTTAACGTGGTAGTCTGAAGTTATACCTGAGGAGGCTTTTGTACCAAAAACTATGATGACCTTTGCACCAAAAACCTTAACTGGGTACTGGGGTGGGTGGAGGGGTGAGGGAGCTGTGAGCTGCTTTCGTCTTTTTCCCCCGATAGTACTGATTTTCCTTCCAGCTCGGCTTTGTTAAGCTGCACTAGAGCAGGGTTTACGCACAGCTGATGCAGTGTTTGTTGCTGTTGATAGGGATTGTCGTGTTGACATTCAGACCATAAATAGTACAACCAACATGGTTTGGTAGGAGCAGCACGGCTGCCGCCCTGTCTTGGCTTCCTGCAGCACAGCTGCTTTGTCCTTGAAGGGGCTCCTCCAAGCGAGGTTCGCAAAAGCACGCATGTCCGAAGAACACGGGAGAGACGCTTGACTCCGGGTTCAGGATTTTACCCAGTTACTCTAGGCTTAACATTCTTGCTTAGTGCATTCAAAGTAATTGCTCTGTATCCATCTTAGCACCTAACCGCTGCTAACACCTCGCGCTCGGTCCTGGCCCTTCTCTCTCTGGGAGATGGGCCGCTTCAAAGCCCGGTTCAACTCCTGGTAAGCTCAAGGCTGTGACACAGTATGAAGTCAAATTTCCTAACTGTGGCTCCCGCTTTGTTTTTCTTGTAGGACAGGAAAGGAGTTTTTATTTTAACAGTTGTATATTTATCTTTTCAGCATAGCTTGGAAGCTAGTTCAGATTATGTGCAATAACTGTTTGAAAAACAGTAGTAGTTAAATGGCTCAGAATTAAGAGTATCTAATTCCTTTTTAGTTCCTTTGTTTAGGACATCAGTGTAAAGACTGCCTCCACTAATTACTGAACATTCAGCTATAGGAGCAGCTGCTTTAAAAAAGCTTTATTTGCTCTAGTTTCCACAAAGAATACCTGTTAATGTGGTAAGACTAAAACTTTAATCATGATCTGACTGTAATAATAACAGTAAGTCTATGCATTCAGAGAAATATTTTTGTATGTTTTATGCAGTTTGATAAACTCTAAGGCACACTAGTTAACTCTTTTTTGTTGGTTTTTTTTTTCTTTGAACAATAAACCATTGGTATGACAACTGAAACTAAGTTTACAAAATTTACTGTTCTTCCAAGGACAACTTTTGTTTGCACTACAAACTTGTACGGAACTGACATTGCTACTCTTCACTTATATTAAAGTATCAGTTGTTTCAAGTACCTGGGTCTCTTCCTTTTTCGGGGGGTAGGGTGTCGGGGGGACGATACGTAGCACTCTAGAGTGGACAGGACACTCAAAATTCTAACACAACTTTGAAAAATCATGGGCCAGTACATTTTTAACACCTAATAAAAGACTGTCAGGCTGCCCAACCCAGTATGGAGAAAGCATGTAGGAGGTGGTTACTTAAATAAGGCACTTGCTTTTCGCTTAGCATTCCTAGGAGATCTGAGATGGTATTTACTGTGGGCCTGAGCTCTGAAGATGCCACTTTTCACAGAGATCCATCTGTTGTGGAGCGCTCGTTGCAGTCAAATCTTGAAGGTAATGACTAGAAAGGCACCACGTTCCCTATGCTTTGAAAGACAGACAGAATTTTTCCTTCATCTTCAATGCACTAGAGAAAGACTCCACTCTCAGCCACGTCAGAATCTGAATCCCGGTCCAATTTACTACAAGTTACCTCATTTTATCATTTATACCTGTGCAAAATAAGGAAGGGAAAATGCTAGTCCTATAACAAATATGTGCAATGGAAGGTGCAAGACAAACATTTTGGCCACTGAAAGAAGTGACACATCCAGGCAGTAGCTGAATCATGTCGCTTACACAAGTTTCAAAAGGAACAGGTGTTCATGCAACATCTGTAATTAGAACTCGGTTATAATTTTACTTTCTCCCACTTACATTAATTTTTCCTGTTAAGTTTTTCCAAAACCACCCAGCCCCAATCCCCTGTGCCTCTGCATGCCTGTCTGCTTTAGAACGCTAAAAGTCAAAAGGGGACGGTGGCTGCCTGCGTGTGGTATCCCTCGGTATCAGAAAACTCATTGCACCAGAGGGACCAACGTGCAGGCCCTTTTACGAGTGCGCTTCCACAGACAGATGACACAAGGCACTACCAAAATTAGAAGCAGCACGTTACAACAGTGCTTTCTCCATGTGTGACTTCAGTTACCTGTCGGGTCCAGTCCTGAATACCTACAGGAAGGACGATGCCTTTTTTAGAAAATGTAAATTCAGTGCCTTACGGAAGTACACTTCACTGTCTCTACTGCTGCCTAGTACACACCGCAGTTCTTCTCCAACAAGAACTACGCTTGCTCGCACTACAGCTTCACAAGAAAGCGTAAGGGATGTCTCTTTTCCCTTGTATCTGTTTTAACACGCAGACTGTGCATGCTTTCCAACTGCATACAGTTGTTAATTAATACTCCAGACTGATACTACAATGCAAACATAAAGGCAGTCTGGTGGCCAACCTCAGCAGTGGCATTTTTAGGATAACGCTGTAAAAGCCAAACTGCTTTATAAAGGCTTAAGGCCTACGTTTTTATTGCGAGATTTCTGTAATTTCTTAACCAGCTGCAGCATAAGCCGCACTGTTGAGGGGGGACAGAATCCAACAGCCCTCTAACTGCTGAGAAAGTAAGCTTGAAATGAAATACTAACTGATGGCACCAAAAAAACCAAACCCACAAACACCACAGAATAACTAAGCATCCAAATTAATGGACTAAGCTTGAAGACATGAGTAGATTTATTAGGAAAGAAGCTTACTTAATATTAAACGTTCAATGACAGAGACAATCAAATTTGTAACAGAAATTCAAAGATACTTTATTTCCATTTCTCGTATATCAAGAAGCTAGGAATAGCTTAGTTGTAAAAATGGGATTCATTTTAGTTCGATTCACACAAATACTAAACATTTATTCCTGTGTTTTAAAGTCCAAGAATGAAAACTTGCAATTAAACACTGAGCAAGCCATGTGTTCAGGTTATGTTGGTTTCTTATCTTAAAAAGTCTTAAAGAAAAAAAAGGATACAGGACTTATATTCTCAGTAGCATGTGTGCTATTATCAACACATCTTTCTGAACTCTGGGAGGAAAGACCAGTCCTGAATTAAATTTTATAAAAAAAAATTTCTAACTCAACTTTATATTTTTCTACGCCACTACAGCTTTCTTTCACCTCATTTTAAAGCAGATCTTCAGTTTAAGCTGTCTTCCGCTGTCTTCGCAGACTCTTCATGTAGTAGTCCTATAATGCAAAATTTTGGGAAAACAGGCAATTAGCCAGCATTAAGAGCATTTAGTTTATCATTCCTATATATTGGCCCAGTTGTTAGCTGTCATCTTAACTCTACAAAAATGTCAACAGTGGACATGACTGGCTTTAGAAGCAATAACGTAGCATTAATGGTTTAATAATCAACATTAAGTGTTTAAGAGTTCCTAGCATAAATAATGAAACTACAGTAACAATTTATGTTGCAAGAAGCTCATTTATCAGCTGTACTCTCCATTGTTAGTTCCTTATTTCAGGAATACAACTAAAGACCTTCTGTAAGAGTAAGAAAGCTATGTCAACAGTGGGGAAAAGAAAGTTTTCCTTTTAATACAGTAGTTGTATTTCCTATGGTTTAGCTGTTTCACTTCCAACAAACAGTTTTTCAGCATACATTCTTGCCATGA